TTCAGGTGACGAACTATGCGCATTTCGACATTGGTTATGTCCCCCACTTTCGTGAGCCGTTCGAATTTACCCGCATCGTTGCGTATGGCGCAAATCTTCTCATTGTATTCGGTTTTATTCTATAGGCAAACACCTATTAGACTCGGGTCACCAATTAGGGCTGGGCTCAGCGTTTAAAGTTGTGTTGCCTCACCCTAATTCCCGCTTCCTTCGGTTTGCTGAGGCTGTCGCTATAAGCCGGATTAAGCCAGCCTTGTGTGTTCAGAAACATTTATTTTTCAGCCTAAAGCGGCCTTGGAAGTAGGTGTGGACTTGCGTCATTCTTTTGCACCTTTAGGTTGTCTGGTTACACCCACTTTTAGCTATATCTATGCATATCGGTTATTGTTAATGGTACTAAGAAGACAATACGAAATGCATGCATCTACCAGCCTTCGTCTTCTTTCCGTGCTTTTCAAATTGTTGAAGGTAACTAACTGCTTTAAATAATCAAATAGTCGTTTTGGGTGATTGCGGTTTTAGCTACACTGCCGTATAAAGGGAGTTTGAATTTTGGAGAGTGGTTATTGATCACGTAATAAGCGAGAAAAAAATAAAGTATAGCAAGGACAGCGCCTACTTGTGTGCAGCTATCTCGGGTCGTTAGGATACAGATGTCCCGTTTCTACAGTAGTAGCCTTCAGCAAATTTGGTGCAAGGGGCTTGGAGTGACTCATTCTCGTGTAGAGTTATGACACTGTCCACAGTCTGTTGTGCATTAGTGCCTGCATCTGGTGGTCATTGGATATAGCACGTAGTGTAAATGTGACAGGGTATCGTCAAGGCGTTTTTTGAAATGGGATAGGGTGGGTGCATTAATGACATGTTCCGGAAGGGGGTTCCAAAGCTGTGACCCTCGACGGTAGAAAGACTTTTGCTAACATTCCAGTCGGCTGTACTGCGTGACCAACTTAAACTGATGACCTCTTAGCGGGGTGTTTTGACTGAGAATCAGAAGGGACTAGCATAGGTGGTTCGGGTTTCTGAAGATCTGGTACACCATTATGAGATCGTCCCTTCGATGCCGATAACCTCCACCGTATATTTTGCGAGTCTTCAGCCTGAGTGGGAAGAGGAGGCTGGTCAAACCTCTGAGACTCTTCGTTGCCCTAAGTTGTGCAGTATCCAGTGCGGTGAGATGGTGCTTGAGCCAGGGTTGCCACGCTTGGATAGCGTATTCCGCGTGCGACCTCACGTACGCACTAAGCATTTTTGGAAAGACTGAAGGATCAAACTTCCCGAAAGCTCTGCGAAGAAGGCCGAGGTACTGGATTTGCTTCCTTAAATGCCTTTTCAGTCTGCTTCAAACAACCGAAGTTATCTTGAACTATCACTCTGAGATCGCGCTCATGAGAAGACCGCTGTAAAATTTGTGGTCCTAGGCGGTACTTGTGCATAATCTTGTGCCTTATGTCGAGAACTTTGCACTTGGTGACGTTGAAATGTAACATGTATTCGATGTACCACTTTTACGCTTTGTCCAGTTCCTTCTGTAACGCTGTGTGATCTTCTACTGCAGCTAGAGCACGCCATACTTTTAGATCATCATCAAATAGCAAACAGTAAGAAGATAGCACGCTCGCGAGATCATTTATGAAAACTAGGAAGTGCCGAGCTCTGAGGTACGCCACACTGAACTTCGATGGATTCCGATAGGTTGATCCGAATCCTCACATTCAGGTGGCGTTACACGAGAAAGTCCTATCCAGCTCAGAACAGGATCGCCGATTCCATAATTCTGGATTTTATGGAGTAGAATACGATGGTCTAGACAATCGAATGCCTTTGAGAAATCCAGGTAGGCCGCGTCGACTCCTACAACAGGGTCCAGAGGTTCCGCCCACCTTGCACGAGCAATCAACAGGTTAGTGGTACAGGACTGATTTTGGCTCCCGAACGAGAATTTTGTTGTTCTCCAGGTACCTCATCAAAGCCTCAGCTAAAGTGCACTCCATAACCTTGGAGATCACAGAAAGTAGTGTTATCGGGCGTTAGTGTGCTGGTTCCTTTTAACACTGGCGATGCGATCGAATGCAGTTAAAGAACAGCAACACACTTACAAACACAAACAACAAACCTATATACCTACTTGCAGACATTTATGGATCCACGTAATTGAAACTCGTATTATACTAGCGCACGTTACTTAGCAATTGTTGTACTAGTAATATGATCAGAACTTCAAAAGTGTGCCTAGCTTAGACGCGAATAAAATCTTTATTTATAGATCTAGGATCAGAATGTCATCAGCTTGTTTACCATAGATGGTTGACACAAAATCCTGGCACGACGAATTCGAATTCGCCATTATACTTGTCGTCTGGTATCCATGTTGCACTACCCAAATATCAACTAACAAATCTACGAACGTTGATTCGGCCTCAAAATATCCGGGTATAAACTGGACCCCATGTCATGGTAGCTTCGGTAGGCGTTTACAAGTCACCCACACAGAGAAGACCGGATGTAATTGGGTCGCAATCGGTGACACTCGACAGTTTATCACAATGGAGGTCAGAGTTGCTACTGAGTTCTGTCTCCTGGACTATTGCCTTAGAATTCAGTCACATCCCCGTTAATCCCACTAAGTCTGACAGCTTGATCGGAAAGAAGCGACAGAACTAATCGCATCTGTTCCTAAAGATGACCACGTTAGCAAATGCTACAACATAAATCACTGGACGTATCAGAATTGTGAGTAACCTGTTTATTCTGTTTTTTGGAATCCTGGAAACCACCCGAAAATTTAAAAAATGAAGATTAGTTTCAAAATAACTAGTATGTCATTTTAACACAGTGTTTTAAACTCGATGCGTTCTCGTTTCACCGACATCATGTCTAGCTGGACAAGCATTTCAAAACGATTTAGTCTGTTCAAGCTGAACATGAGTAGCATTGGATGTCTTCGTTCAGAAAATCACTTTTGTAGACCGGCTTTGCTGAGCACCTTTTCTTCCAAGACGGGTACTTTGTTTTACTTTCAACATGTCCTCACTCACATCGAGAAATCCAGAAGTTAGACTGGAAAAGCGACTTTCTGATGATAGCGCATCTGGGGAGATACATCAATGGACTCCGGCGTGTGGAACATCAAGAGGTTAAAACTTCTCTTGTCAAATATGCTTGGCATTGCATGGCGACGCATTCTAGCCAATCGAAATTTTCTTGGGTAAAATCTATTCATTCCTCTGTTTTTTCTTTCCTTGGACTTCCCGCGGATCTTCTGCACGCGAGCTTTCTCACACAAGATGATTCATGTCAAGTGCAACTGGGCTGCTTGCAGCGGTGGGGAAATTAACGGCGCTTTGTAAAGGGACGAGCAGGACGGCTGATCTGAAGACTAGGAGTGCCTCGGGCTAGTTTGTTCGTCCCAACTCACGGAGGTGATTACCACGGAACGATGCTGGTCACACGGCGGTCTGTAACTGCTTTAATTTTATGCCTAATCTTGCTTCGGCAATTATTATACACAATTTCGATGAACTTGTGTTGGATTTCACGAGGATGTAACATTTCTCAATCGGTAATCAAGTGCCTGTAATCTATAGATTAACGAGCTGCATACACCAAATGAGTGCATGTTCCCTATGTCAGCCGCTCACAGAACATTCAGCAACTGGTCATGGTATCGGCATCATAAATAATCCGAGAGCAAGTTGGTGACCAGTATTTGAAACACAAATTTATAGTAGGTCCTCCGAAATTCAAGGAACGTAGCAATAATATAGTCGAAAATCCAGGGTCAAAAGTGAAACTGAATGATACCGTAATTTTCAAGCGATATCGTTATTTGCGCGGATAAATGCATGGCGAAAGAATCTTATTAATACAACGTGGAAACATCCAACCAATGGCTGTTAATGCCACCGTTGTGACCAGCTGACACCGTTAAAGCTGGACAAGCTGGTACTTGCAATGTAGCCAGGTATTTTCCTTTAGGCTAGAGTGTAGCCGTTGTTCATTTACAGAATTTAATCCTGAATCTCGATCCGAACAGTAAATTAGTGTGAACACCGAGAATGGTCCCCTATATTACCAAGACAGTATTTGAATTATACAACGTTTTGAATAGTACTATTAAAATGGAGCACGCTTGCTTAAGTGAATCGGGTAGCATTCCTAACCGTAAAATTTGATTTTGGACCTTGAGGATAGCTACATCAAAGACAAGTGAAGGTTGCTGGGGGGTGTAAGGGTAAAAACCTCGTGTGTGTTACGGGTTCAAGTAATGGCAAAATTTAATTTTGATGGCATGATGCTATCACGTATCTGTTTATATTAAAGTTATAGTCATTAAGTAATATCAACTTGCTTTTTTTGTTATTGTTAACATTCCATATATTAATGTAGGATATTTTTTGTACTAACGCAGTTGAGATGCGTTGTGCTTTGCAAGGCTTGTACATACTATTTTTTAGTAAGACTAAAAGGGAAACGCTCATAAATAACTTCCTGAAAGATAGGGCGAATATCAATGACAAATGAGCGCACATTGTCTCAGATACGTTGAGGAGTTGCATATAGTGCGATACAATTGAAAATGAATAAGATTATGCAAAGATTCTCGATAGTTTTGTGTGAATAGCAAGTGCTTTAGAAAGACTTGGTGCAAGATATGTTTAATCAATGTCCGTCAATGTACCAGATATCCACTTCAGATAGTTATAGTTCATTCGCATCAGGAGACACCTGGCTTCAAAGAATTTATCCTCTAAAGACTGTAACTGCTACGTAAAAGTGATAGAAAATGCGTCCAGAAATATAAGAAAAAGGAGGTGAATTTTAAGTCTTTTAGCACATTTCTTTTCAAACTTTAATGGTCTCAAACCGGCGTTCAACTACACACTTTTCGAATAGCAAACAGTAGAGCTGTGGCAACTTTCCAAATATATTTAAGCATGATGAAGGTAGAGTGTGATTTTTTACCGTAACCGTTCATGATGAATGAGGGCAAGTGGAATTGATCGACGTTAGAAAAGTCTCCTATATACATGGCATGAATTAACATGTGTGAATGTTGCAAAATCAAGTAAATAGTGCTGCTCTGAAACACTAGTGAACGGTAGCCACAGGCCCTGAGGTAAACGTTGGTAGCACATAGATTTGAGCATATAACCATCTACAAATTATATCTGGAAAATCTTGCCTTAGCCCGATACAATATACCGGACACAGATTTAAGTACAATTACACTGTGGTTATATTCTGCGATCCCTTTATATCAGCTGACTCAGGTCTGATTTGGCTTTCTCCATGTTTATCCGCAACATTTGAAGATTGGGAAGGGTTCGTTGTTCTCTTTTTGGAACGATCACGACGGTCCTTGTCGGCTTGTTTTCGACGATCCGTTCGATTCAATTGTCGGCCCGTTTTGAGGTCCCCAGGTACGTCGTCGTCAGTGGTTAATACTGAACGCTCTTCAGCTACTCGCTTAGCACGTTCTTTTAGTAAACGATTTCTGAAAAGAAAAAGTGGTTTAGCGTAGGCGGATTGTAAGAAGCGGATTATTAGTTTGGTTTAAAATATTGCGGAAAGCAGCCGAGCATATTGCTCAATGACGACTTTAACATCATTAAATATCGCATTCATAAGGTGAAACCAAATCTTTTAACCCATTTGGACTTACTAAGCACTCGACTGGTTCATGGTGACCAAACGGTTTTAAAGTGTACATGTTCAAATGTTAAACTTTTATTTCCAGCACTAAGCTTGAGCATTACCGGTGGGGCGCGACGACCTTGGTTTTGGAGGCTAGACGCAATATCTCTAAACTGTTCTTAACTCTTTACTGACCGACTGAGAGACTTATGATACCCAGTCATTTCCGTTCCACTGGAGTTGGAGAAAGTCGCTTTATTGTTCCTCTGTAAACTAGGAGACAGATTACTGTGTGTTCTGGCATGTGCTTCGCACATTGCTTTTGTCAATAAATATTTTCGAACCGGGTATCCGTCTAACTTATTCTGGTATGGTGGCCTACGTGTTATGTTATTACCTAGCAGGTTAGGAAGGCAGCATAGTTTTAAACCATCTATCAAAGTTAGGTTACAGGTCGCCGAAACATTATAAAGGTTACCTTATGAGTAAGACTGATGGACAGCGCGCTCTGAGAACATAAGAGTGGTCATTTGGCTCACCGCAACAACTGAAGAGTTGTTAGTATTTGTGTGTACGATCAGCAGTGTGACTTGAATGCACCACAACCAGAGCTTGGTGATAATCTTCTCAGCGCCGATCTGTGAAAGCTGTTACATTTGAGACAACAATGTTAGGCACACCAAGTTTGTAGGGTGCACATAAGCCAGGTTTATTAGTGTGATCTTTTAAGACATCTTGTCTTATTGGGTAGAGAAGCAAAGTGACTATTAAGTGACGGTCAGATGGGAGGTTTTAAAACTGAGGTTGTAAAGTATAAAGCAAAGCTTCTCCAGCTAGCACGAAGCATACACCAGCACTGGCCACCAACTCAACGCGGGTGCATCATTCACCGTCCTCATTCTCTCTCAAGAGCGTATGGTTATTGACCGAGAGCACCCGGCTCTATGAATACAAAAGTAGCTTACGGCTAAACTCAGGAAATCGTGGTAGCGAGAAGCTAACCAGTAGGCCGCTAACTGGCACTCATTCGGTCCAGTGTGGCATTTATAGCTGATGGCACGTGTGCGATTACTTAGAATGCAAGAAATGAAAGTGCCATTTCACAGGTTATATTTTATGACACAAGCAGCAATCATAAGCATGATTCCGCCGCAACATGACACTTTTTTGATTGGGCCCACAGGATGGTCTCGTCAATGAATATAAGATTTTCTGGCTTCCCAGTTAATAAAGGATTTAATACTTTGCATTTGGTTCAGTACATCAAACATTTAATCCTTCCTTCACAGGTATCGGCATTCATTTTTATTTTTAAATAACGTTATGTTTTCGTTTCATGCTCTGGGTTTTCGTTTATTAGTATTTGCTATTTCCAATGCGAAATAGAGAGGTTATGTGCATCCACTGCTGTTATGAAATGGCGTGGCAGAAATAACCGAATTCACTCACATTAATTTTGGTTTCTTAACATGAAATTATCGCTAATTACTCAAATAAAATGAAGAGTGTGGAACCACTTCTTACAGCATCCGGTGAAAAGAGGCTAGCGGTTGAAGTAATTGATCCGTCAGTCAGTGTGCCTCAATTATCTAATCAAACACAAACTCGGCAATGCATTTAATTCATTCCATATAATATTAAAAGGATGTATGAAGGGTGTTGAATAATTTTCTTACAAAACCGCAAGTGACTATACACTTAGAATTACTTAAGGAAGCCATCACTTTAATTAGACGAAATCGATGGAATCAATACTTTCATGGTAGCGATTGCCATCGAGGCTTCATATGGACCATGAAGTAGCATGCATAACAATTGTGTATTATCCAAGCTATTCGTATCCAAAGTGCTACGAGAACCAACCCAAACAGATACCGAATTCATTCAAAAAATCTTACGAGCTCTCTTGCCTTCCGTCGTTCTCACCCAGTTTATACGTTTTTTTAACTGACTTCCGATATTTTCGAGAAGTCTTTTCCAAGTTAGCACTTATAGCGTGCATATTTTCTAATATGTTTTCCAATGCGCTAGTCATTTACGTATTCAAACAGTACCGCAAAACATAACAATTCCATTAAGGAATGATCTTCAGAATACAAACACTGATTGCTAAACCTGAAATGACCTAAAATTACGCACGTTCCACATTTCTTCTCCGTGTTACTTGCCGTTACTTACTCCGACGTTATAATGAAGCAATTCCATTCAGTCATGAAAACCTGTAATCTTCACTGGGAAGAATTCTCATGCTTAATGTTACTGATTCGCAACACGCAATATCCGGCAGTTTCTTTAGTTATGGCTTAGAGTTGCCAGCCGGTATATTTGTTTACCCGCTCAGCTCTCCCAACTCTACATCTTGTCTAATCCAGTGATGCACAAATAAAATTAATGGTTACAGACACTACGCAATTAAAGTAAGTAGTATAAGTACCACCTAAATGCATTTAGTGGATTTTTATTGCCCACAATGGTCTGGACTTACCTTATGGGTCGGCGTGTTATGTAGCGCGTCCCATCAGGGCGCTTTTTGATAACCCATTCCATCACATTAAGGTTTTCCGTCATGTATGGCAAGGGAGGATATCCGTGGAACTGATGGCATTCCCTGAAATTGATGGGGAATTTGGGACATTCATCCGGAACACAGCAAGGTGTCCGCGGACTTGATCTATGCTGACCGAAATCTGAAGTACTCGGTGTGGTCAGTGGTGGTACATGACAGTCAACACATCTGTTCACAATGGACGAAACGTAGGCGCCGGATATATGGCCATTCCGGTTTATTGATTGGTCTGGCCTTATGCTGCTCTGTGGGCACAGCTGATTTACATCGACTGGTTGGCCCAGTGCGTTTGGCAACCTCCCCTCAACGTACGATATTGCGGTGTCTTCCAGGGTGACCGAGGCATAAGGTATCTCATAAATGTCAGATGCCACCTGATCCTCCGTCTGGCACACAGAAGAGGAAAACATAAGGATGTAGCTATCGTCCAAGTATGTCATACACATGCACAAAACATGGGTAAAAGCGCAAGTCTAAACAATTTGCTGCTGAATGAGGTCCTCTTAAATAGTCCTTGCTTCGTAAAAGATGACACTGAACAAGGGAGCAGCGTGGTTAAGCTACGCCAGCCGTAACTGTAAACGAGAAATAACTTATGCTAAACGTACTGATTTCACTATCAGTTAGTAAATCATTGTGAGTTCACGAAGATCTGGATCCAAAGTAAATGGTGGTACAAGTTTAAGTCTTTCGATTTTATGGCCGGTATGCTAATTTGGAGCGTGTCAATGAGAGTCCACCGCTCTCTTACCCAGTAACATGATAACTATGAACGATGTGATCAAGTGACATCTCTAATCAAACCAAAAGAAATGAGGACATGATCTATTTGATGCATATTCACCGTATTCTATGAAACCACAAAGTTTGACTGGCTAAGACCTGTAGGCATTATTACATAATGCTTTAGACAGATGGTCGTGCAATGCTTTTCATTGGGCAAATTTTCTCAATCCTCAAGTTACCACGATAAGTCCTTGGAAAAGGAAGTTCAACGGGAAAATTTCGCCGACAACCATGGAATAAATCCTGATATGCCGCTCCTTCTGAAGAATTACGGAGCAGCAATTGCACCGTCCCCAAAAGAACAATGTCAGGATAATACATTTCGAATATCCACATTCCATCAACAACTTATTCAGAACTTTTATTAGCGTTCTGCTCATCAATAATCAATGTAATGTTCACAGCCTTCGTTGAGCTTCATGACGGGTATGCAAATTGAGAAAACTCCAACATGAACATGGAATATTTTGTTCACTAGAACAAAGTGCTCTAACGACTAAGCTTTGTTTGATTACCATACAAAAGCTCGTATCTGCGCTTGCCGTGCCACTTCCATTTACATTATTGGTTAAATACACACAGTTTTGCAAGTGCTTAAACGAAATAAAGAGTGCTGGCAACGTAGTAAATAAGTATCATTCTGAACAAAAGATGATGGGTTATTGAGGCGCCAGTCTGATCGACTCTGTTGGCGGGCACATGTTAAAAGGTTGTGTGTGAATAACCAACTCAACCACCCCTACTACTTCGAGCTCACTGCGTAGACTCTAAAACGAATCATTGGTTCCTGTTTCAAATTCAGTTACACCCTATCTTATGGAAAAGCTGTAACGCGCAAATACATCACTCTCCTTCGCATGAAGCTTGAGTAACTGATTGATCGATCATTTTCCACCAATATTTCCCGTCAGTTTCTCATGCATCTACAGCAATAGCATCACTAGTTACACAGTTGCTGAAGTAGGATCCTACTTCCCTTCCAATAATCCTGGACAACCGCTGCTGAATTTAATGCGGACTTCCATGGCGCCCGGCAACTTATTTGTGCACACCTTCAACCGATCAAGATGGAGTGGACAGAGTTGACTTCTAGTTGGTCTATTCCCTTTGGCACTGAAGACGCACTTGGACTATAATTCAACACGTTTTACTGCTTTGGCTTACACAATTGGCTTGATAGCAAACACAAGATAACTAAGTAAAACACAAATACTGCTCAAGCCCACATCAGCTGGGGTACAGTGAGGCAAGTGTAGAAATATAGAAATACATGCTAATATGTAGTAAAGCTAAACCTCCTCTTAATCGCAGTCCTCCCTGCGATGTAAAACGATATTTAACATTTATATTATTACTTCATACACAAGCTATCGCTTCTCATCTAGGAAACATGTCATTGCATTTATGTAACTTTTATTGCTACTATCTTACCTTTGCTTTACTACCACAACCAGAGAACGCAGTAGGAGCACTAGAAAAATCGCGTTGAGCACATCCCTTGGTGGATTTCATCAGGTCATTACCAAATTTATGGGAGTCACTGGAATTTCGTATTCTTGATGGAGAACAGAATCGATCATAAAAATCATAGCGATGATTGGATTGACTCAAAGCAGCATTTTCAAATAAGCATGAGGTAGTAGTCGTCACACAAATCAAGGGATTGCTGGAAATTTTTGAATGTGAACAAGACGGAATAATTCTCGGGGATATCACGCAAGGTTTCTGATTCATGTGATGGTTAGTGTTGATCTGGGGGGACAAAAATGAAGGCAACACACGGCTTTGGTCATTCGATGATAAGTATCCAGACTGTCTTGGCTGTAATGCTGTCGATGTCATCTCATTACACACTTGTTGTGGCGGAGTTGGAGGTAACTGCCGATGAACACATGAATTGTTTTTCTTGTTGCCATGTGTGGAGCCATCTCTTGGTCGGATACGTTGCTTGCTTCTTGGGTCCGCTGGTGGGCGGTAAGAAACCGGCTTTGAGCCAGCCTGTCCAGTGATCCGTACGCTCTCTGCATCGACTCCAAACCCAATGTGCAGTCTTGTGTCATGCACGGCTAACAGATAAAGGGTAGGAATCTTTTATCAAAATAAATATATGATATCGCTGTACAAGTGCAAATGGTGCGATAAATCCCATTTATATCTCTGTCGGCTTGTCAAACTTGTGATGATGTATTTCGAAATGCTCTCTTGTCGTTAGCTTGGTCTTAACCTCTAATTAAGTTCGGTACCTATAAATTAGGTATTCTCTGAACGTATGTTCTATTTATTAGCCAAGCCTTCGAGCGATCTGGCTACAGCATTACAACATTCGTCATACTACAGACACAATTTAAGCTACTCTAAACTATTGTATGATCGGCACCGAATATTTGTATTATCATTTCAAGCTAGTTAAGGACGAAAGACGGTTTAGCTCTGGAAAATGTCCAAACATTGCTTAATAAACTGGTCATGAGGCGCCCCGCGAATATGAGTTAATTTGATTGTCTTTGTCACCTCCGAGTGGATACACTATGGCATAGAGGAATGAAGAATAATCACATTTATTTCATATAGAGCACTGCCCTTGAACTGCGGAAAACCGCTGTTCATGCTACCCGTAATGGCGGCTACCTGTTGCCGTCGATGGACGTTCTTCATTGTGAGATGTAGAAATCTACGGAGCCGATTATAACTACAAATACGCAAAAGGTAAGAAAGTTCCCCACCCTACCGATGACTGCCCATTATTGTCGCTAGAAAGTACATTTTATAGGAGTGATACAAGCAATGATACTGTGAGAAGGCAGTGTGAAAAATAGGGTTAGTTATCTATAAGAAAATTCTTGATACGAAAGCTTTTAATTTGTTATGTTTTACTGTACGGAAACATTAACACTATTTCTGCTTGCAGTCTGCTGCTCCCACCTAGGGGTCAAATATGGCTCATCGGTAAATTTATTAATTCGTCTATTCGTCTATTCATTTAATGCACATCCTGATGCATATCTTGAGGTAATATGCTACATATATGTTATATAATATCCCGTTCTAATGCTAACTGAAAATCTTGTACCTCATTTCACATTCAGGGATAAGGAAAATTGAGAACGTTTTCAAAAGTAATACCAATACAAATGCAAGTTGATTTACACAATCCACACTAAGTTGCACGGGTAAACAAAAGGAGGACTCATCAACCATCTTCTCAAATGTATGCTTAACAATTGCTTACGTGGATAGAAGACAAAAAACAATGTACCATGCGGAATCGTTGCCAGCATCTTTTTAAGCTGTGTCATCGCAGCTACATAACTATGTTTGCCACATCAAACATATTCAGGTAAATTAAATGCACTAAGCATAGGCTATGAAGGAAGCAGCAAACGATAACAAAACATCAGTGAATCCATGAGCATCATAATTAACAGGAGCTGTGCCAACTGCCTTTGGCATTCATCTTCACTTTACCGTTACAAAATATTTCAGGCCTAAAGGACAGAAATTTAATTGGACGGCATTAAGGATATGAATGTGCATGCTTACATCTCTCCCGTGATTCCAGTGGCGTTTTGAGAGGATAGCACTCGGTTGCCGTTTGATCATGTTCTCCATGCTTTTGGCCAGTAAACGCGATAAATCTGTTTCTTTGCACTTGTCTTAGAGGATCTCCTATTTTGTCTTCGGTTACGCTCAGACTGTCAGAAGAAGAAATATTGGACAGTCCCGAAGGACGACTTCTATTGATACCGCTAGAATCACATTCTGATATACTTGGTATGCGTGCGAGTCCATCACGACTGTCATCAGAGTGTATTTGTTGATCATTCAGAGAACGACCACTGGCAACAGGCGTGCTCACAGGTGTGGCTATACAGCGTTGATGCGACTGCGAACTTCCGTCAATCGACCAATTGGAGGCGGGACTTAGTGATTCACAAGGCAAATGGGAGGCCATGATTGATTCGCTATTATTGGGAAATAGGTTCGGTACGCTGGACACAGTGGCTGCCAAAGATAAGATGGAGCCACCGAGATCGGATAAGGAGGCTGTGAGTTCCCCGTTCCATACGTCCGCTCCATCATTATCGTCAGAGTTTCCGAACTGTCCGGATGGTTCTTTCGTTAACTGTCGCAAGCGAATGCTTACTCCGTTGGTGGTATGTTGACTACGAACGCTTTCACCGGTACAGTAAGCACTTGTTTGTCCACTAAGCGAAAGTTGTTTGTCCAGATCGAGTGGATATACAGCTGTATCACCACCGTACTGCAGGAAGGTATCCGTTTCCTTGCTCAAAATGTTCATTGGATCTTTAATGCGCGTGGGATCATACAAGACAGTAAAAAGGACAACAGTCGTGAGAAAACGTAAAACAACCACTAATAATGATGGTTCACTTAAAACGCATTACATTATAAAGGATCAATAAACTATGGATTCATCATACTCGAACAAACCACTTTGGCCTTAATTCTCATATATATGGACGATTCTTGTGCAGCCGAGTTATTCCCAGCTTAATAACACAGGTTAGCACACAAAGCATTTTTTGTCCCCGGTAGTCATGACACTAGTGCTGTGCATCAGGGTAATCCAGTAAATTTTGACGAAAGCACTGGCTACAACCACATAACATCCAGTTCGCAGTGCTCAAAAGAAGCACAGCTACTGCTATCTGTCATTTGCAAAATAATATGTAGTATATGCTATAGTATATACATATTAATACATATACTGTATATGCAGTATATAATATATTACATGGGTAGGAGTATACACTATGTATATGGATGTCTTAGAGCTTTGCAACTGAAATTCTCACCTGGACTTATATCCAAAGTTATGGCCTAACCATTTGACAAGATTTAATGAAATCCTGCTCGTCTCATTAAATTAATTATATGGAAGCAGCTTTTAATGCATTCAAAAATGAAACAAACAGATTTTTGGAATACAGGTACCTCAGGTTTATGGAAGGCAAGTTCCTGGGAATAAAGGAATATAGCGAAAAGCTGATGTGAATAACTATTTGCGTTGGACAACAGACCCTTCAATCTGTATCCATATCAGTATTGTGCATGTATCTACCGCGTAGTTAGCTGAATTCCCCATAAATATTTTGTTAACTACTAGCGAACTTTACTCACGACAGTTTATTTAACCCTTGTTCTGTTTACAAAAAAAGGATTTCGATGATTTATTATGGATCTTCTATAGCTGAGAAAGTGGGGGCGAACCCAAGGGCATTAATCGCTGGATACGGGCTAAACGATATGCGTATGAACCTCAGAAGAATTTATGGGAGCAGGGGGCTTATAGCCATATCCAAAGGTAGTAATGGAACATGGATCTCCTTGTAGTAAAGATGTAACTCAACGGTGGTTACGCATTATAAACAGTCCGCTCTTCCGTTGAACCTTTCATTCATCGGTGTTTGTTCGTTGCGTTTTTTGTATATTTAAAAATCTAAATTTGTATGTTATTAGCAGATAAAACCTGTAGCAAGTAACCTGGCCGATATAGCGAGCTTTTAAATTACCCTCCTAAAACTTTCGATTTTAAAAGTAGGTTAAAGCCAAGCAAGCATTTAGCTCAAGTTATACGGAACGCTATTGTTTTTGCAAGTTTTATGCTTCATGTATCCAAGTAAAATGTCGTATTACAGCAGTACTTACACTTTATGGTGATTGTTATCCAAATTCGTGTGTATTCAAACTGAAGAAAAGTGCACCCGTTTATCATCTATTTATGTATTAAACGTTTCAGGGCCAAACGGACCACGACTGAATGCATTTTAGCTATATTCAATATAGCTGTATAACTCAGGTGTTGCGTGTCACAAATGTTTGTCAACTAGTACTAATGAGTAAGTTGCCCATGTTTAGGTTGAGTGCCCCAGCAATGTTGTGTTTCAATCAATCAAGGTGCCTGAGGACAAACTCAAACACATGTATAGAATGTTACAGGCGCAGTTGGAGTCAATAGTACAGCCATATTATATGCTTTTAAATTCCCTTCCAAATGCATTGAACACCCGCAAGATTTATCGGTCTATTTGCAGCAGCGTTCATTTCTTGTGCGGCTGTAACCCACTAACCAACTTCGAAGCTCGCCTGTGTGCATTGAATACTGGTTTGATTACCTGACCTCGATCGCAAGTAACATTGTGCCACTGTTTGACGTCGCATTCGCAGCACACCTTGTATGTGCATAAGAACCACCACATGCATTTCATCTTTCAGACATGTAATACTTTGTATGACTGCTGAAAGTTTAGAGATAAATGTGTACCACCTGCCAAATGAAAAGCCCCAGTCGTCTTCGAACAATGTAAGTGCCTGCTGCGGCCCTAGTCAGATAGTTGGGGCTAACCAGTTGCAGTGGTTTCAAATGGGATAGCTTTAACCGTTGCCCACCAAAGGGTAAGCAGGTATTCACACAATTAGTGTATGTGCATAAGAAGCTAACCAGAAGCCATGATTAAAAGGTCAACCATTTTCACGCCACCTGTTATCATTAAGCATCATGACACAGCCAAACTAGTTCTTACGGTTGGAAGAGTAAACAAAATTCTGAAGAATGAAGTTACTGAGGTTAGCTGCATTCGTCGACACTCTACAACTATTTGGCGAGGCAGTTAAACTGATTTTCTCCACAGCGCGCTGCTGAGGCAAAGAGCTAAAATATGTGTACAGGTTGCTGAGTACAAATTATTGGAAATGGCTATCGGTAGACGCTGTTTAATCTTAGAATTTAACAAACTTTCAACTACGCATGGAAGCGATCATTCCTCCCTTAGGTAACAATGAATTTGTATGTTCCAAACGAAATCCATTTAAATTCCACTACGTCAGACCATTTTAAATTGTTGCAGATAAGTAGTTAACCACATTGGTCATTTGAGGTTCGCTGATTGCATATGTACAATTACCAGAAATTCAAACGGATGGACAATGATTTCTTGTTACCTGTGTCTGCATTTTAGCTATCCGGTGCATAGACGTTAACAGACCTGATGGAAATTACTGTAGAACATATAGTTTTATGCGCGGATGAGTGTTCTCCTAGCGTGTGCATTAATTTGCTAAACGAAGAAACAAAGTAGTGGAATAACGTACGTCTACTGTGCGGTGATGCGAAATTGACAGCCAAATACATGAAACGTTTAGTCGTCAGGAAATAATAAGATTCAATGAAATCTTTTAATCAACTACCTTGCTTTTGTCCTTCGATGGTTTCTTGATTCTTCAGTAAATTCGAAGTCTCCCCGGTGTTATTGGTGTGTTCTAGTCCTCTTGTGCCCATTCGAGGTACACGTTGGTTAACTGAAATTCCGTCTCCAGATCCGCGGTTAACAGATGAACTAGACGACGACATTGAGGGTAACCATTGCTCCTTTTCAACACTAATAGAATTGTACGTGTGACCCATTTTGAAGCTTCCTTGGGAGTATGCAACATCACAACTATCCGCGGAGTGCTCCGGACGTGGGCTGTATCTGAGAGAACCTGACCGACAGCTCACTTTAGCTTGTACCAAATGTCTGCAGTGTACCGCCAAGGATTGCATTAAACGGCCAAGGAATACGAGTTCCTCATCGATAGAATTCATGGGAATGCAGGTTGTAGAAGCTTCACGCATCCTGTCATGAAGATGAGATCCTACGTTTTCTGAGAAAGCGCCTTTACCATTTGTCGAGTTGACACAAAAATTTTTCCCCGATGACCTTTGGTCTGAGTCGACTTCCTGAAAGCCAAATAAGTTAACGTCATCTCCGGTGGGTAGGAAACACAGCTGTCTTTGATGGAGATTCATCTCATCCAGGTCAGACAAAGAGTAAATATGCGGAGGGGCATTGGACCCCAGTTAGGTAGGGCAATCCTATCTGGCCCAGGCTGGGCTCGAACAAGTGAAACTGTTCCTCTGAGGCTGTAGTTAAGGCAATTTGTCCACAGAGATGAAACACTGCCGCAGTCATTCAGTAACAAACGTGCATTAGCAATTGTACATAACCTCCGCTACCATGCGCGTTTCAGACATGCTAAATAACCACCTTCCGATATCAATATAAGCTGGTGTGGTTAATTAAGAATTATGCGTAATTTACAGCAAGTGTGTATCGCGTTTACTTGCACCAGCGTGAAGATTGCTGTTATAGAAATCTGAAGAAATAATGTTAAAACCAATTTGTCATCTGTCTCTTGCGGCTATGAGCACCAACGACAGTTTGTTGAGGCTGTCTTGAGCGATAATTCCAGCAGATCCTTGTGAACACATCCTTTGGTAAACAGGCCTGTAGGCTTTCAATGCAACTTACTAAGTTCGTAAATTCCAAAACTTGTCGAAAGTCCAGCAAACCCCATCGTATAGCGCTCTTCGTTCGCATGTCGTGACAGCACATTCAGCTTACACTGAGCATGATAATACAAAGTTCGCCATCTACTAGGGCATTATTTCCTACGGATTACTCTTCAAGCAGTTTTCGTAATTATTACAGCTTTAGCTCTCAGACACACGTGAAACTCTTTGTGCATTCAAGTTAACTGACTGTTTTACTTTGTTGGGTGGAACGCCTTCGGAGTCCTCCGGGATTTGCTGGTATACGGTAATTTACAAGGCAGCTACGGAAACAGTGTATCATCCAGTGTTTGCGCATCATAAATAAACAAAGTGCCCATTCAATCCCGTTCTACCGCGATGGCTACAAGTTACACATATCAGAAAAATCAACCGACCACTTTGTCTTGAAGGTCGAGCACCCGGGTACGTAACTAAAGTTTGAGCGAGCTTAAGCCTTTGAACCTGGAGGATGCAGTGACTCTAACAATCTGCACGTGATCGCAACAACATAACCAGCAGTACAGGCAAGATGCAACGTAGTGTTAATGCGTTTTGAGGTAAAGTCGTAAAATTCTTAAAATGAGGGTAATGTTTTAGAGTGCACCGATCGGCAGCACTGTATCATGCAACACGCTCCGATGGCTACGCCGTGTTGCGCATGTCCGCCTACCGACTTCCTCAAGATGCGTGGTCTGCGCGCCGGACTGAGGGTGGAAGAAGGGGAGGGGTGGCGAAGCGGTGACGTGGTCAAAAGGAATGAAATCCCTCACTTCGAAGTTGGTGTCGGCTGATGTGGTCCGATTACCTGGACGGGGTCCGAAGGTTTCTGAACACGTTTGGTTGGATATACTAGTTGATATGAGAAGAAGCCGACCTTATTGGCGTTTTTGTTGTGAATTTCTTCATCCCCCCTTACAGTTTACCTTGCACCTCCAACCGCCTTCACCCGTTTGACGTATAATATTTTACTAAGTTGCCTGTTGCCTGTATTTTTCAGTCATTCTGTACTTTCAGTATCTTGCTTTCTTCGTTGTCCTGTCATTATGTATTGCGGCATAATATTTGAAGTGTGTTTCCCACCTACATTTTAGGTGTAATGCTGATGGATTCTTTTGAAGTACATTGGATCGTTCTATCGTGATTGTGCAGGAAAATCAGCTTAAGAAATGAAGCAGCAAAATAGTACCGGATCCGTTTTGTTTTTTTCAACACATCAATTAATTCCAGTGCCTACCTGCGTTTGTGTGCTTATGAAGAAGTGCGTTAGGTTGACTGAGACAATAAAGAATTCGGTGTAGCTAACAGAATCACACCCTGGCAAGTGAATACGACAGCGCTCGTTCCTAAACCAGCAAATTTTACTCCCTGACAAATAACGGACAATCCGACTACACAGCATTGGCGTCATCCCCAAATCCTATAGCCCACTTCACACCCGTAAAAAATCACTTATCAGGCATGAATACCGCTAGTTTTTCCATTGGCACAGCTAGCATTAAGTGAATAGCGATGATAGCATCTCCGAGCAAGAGTTCGTCCACCGTAGGAAAAAAGCCGGTTATCCTACGCATTATTCGCCTTAATGCAAACATAGGTGAGAACATCTTGACTCCGGTAGCCGCACCGAGTAACAAAATGTTGCGACATCTTCCACGGTGCACCAAACCATTAAAAACGATATGAACATGTAATTTAAAACCGAGAGTTATGAGAATGAATGACTTAACTGTCGTGCTTACAAACGTACAGGAATCACGGGAGAACCCACGACCACCACAAGTTAAATTTCATTTGAGCTTTGAATGGCATTTCGATTGAGAGTATGACGCTGATACGAGTGGCATCTCATCTAAATTCAATGCAATACGGTAAGCCACGAATTCCGCGAATGATTCCGAATACCGCTGACTAGAAACAGGACATTCTATTGTCGTTTATTCGGCTGCGAACCGCACCACATTGGGTGCGCTACTTTAGACTAACCCTTGGGTAACACGTCCAAAACAGAACAGCATTCGTGTAGGAGTTGGCAAATTTACCGATCATAGCACGATCATTGTTTACGGAGTTTCCAATCTGTAGCATGTTCCCTCTGAGGAAACAGTAGCATATTATTCAGCACAATGTAGTTAGATCCGCTAGGCCCGTCCTCCCCCACTACAGTATAACTAATAGGCGGTTGGCAAGAATTCCGTTTTCACACAAGTACAAAATACCCACTCTAGGTTGATGAAGATGGTTTTCCTATCCGAGCTAATACCATCGCTCAGCTTGAAACATTAGCATAAATTTTTCCAAAGACAGCTGAGAGCAATTTGTTTAAAGGCGGCAAATACAAGCTACCCGTGACCAGCGGTGCTCAGCGGATGGTCAAAGCAGTGAGCCTACCCCTCATGTAATCCAATGAAGATAGTTACGTAATAGCACACTCAGCATCCGATGGAATATATCGAAGTAATGAATAAAAATATTCGCGACCGGCCGCATTATTCAAACAAACATCAAGAGCCAAAGTCTTCTCCAACAGTGGTTAGTGGCCAAACGTTCAACGATTGGCATCATATTCAGCCTTAGTTTAATATCCGCTATTTCAACTTTAGTTAGTAAAATCTATCCTACTTGCATATTAACACACAACGCGTTATTAGTAGGTTGGTCGAACACTACCATCGTCAGCATTCGGAGCTTAGCGATGTGATAATGGTCACCAAAAGGAGGCTGAGCCGCGTGCTACTGAGGTTAAGGTCATTCGCCTTTTAGTTTACTTCTACGAAACGACAGATAAAGTAGAAAAGAGGAGTGCTCATATGGTAGAAAAATACCTACGTTGTGAACTTAAAGACGGCCGAAATCGCGTGTCACTGATCGCTTTTAATACAGGCTAAGGTTGAAAGACCATGACACATCCCTTGCGTTTCATTCTACCGACGGCTCAAATCTGCTCCGGAAAGAGACTACAAAGTAAAATCGATGTTGTGAGGAGCTAGAAATACAGCCACATACTCGTTACAGGCGATTTCAACATAAATGGTCTAGAAACTTCAGCGACCGAGAGTGATCGGAGCAAAGCCTGTCTGTAAGCGCTAATCTCTAACGCGCCTATCCTGGCACGTCACCCCTCTCATCATGTTCAGAAAAGTTAACAAGGTGTCGATATTGGAACTAGAGTTTTACAGTAAGGATGATATGGCTACTGGGTCTGGTGCGTGCAGTCTTTTGGGTCGAAGTGATCATGTAACCATACTTGTAGATTGCATTTACTACACGGATTATCCAGATGTAGAGTATGAACATGTGACTCAAAGTCCAATTGGTTGAAGCTGCCGGTTGGGTATCCTTGCGTGATTGCACTCCGAAGATAGCAAGGGGAAGGTTTGTTAAAAATCATCACGACAATATGCACTAAAGTATCAACACCGACAGCTTTCCATCGCCTTTTCAAATCAATGTAATTTATGAGGAGAGGAAAGCGAAAGGATATGGCCAAAGAAGCAGAACATAGTGCGTTTAAAACACTCCTCCAGCTCAGAAAAATGGAATGCGTGTGCAGATTAACGCAAGTGTTGTGCGAAATTGAGTGTTGGAGACAGCCTAACACACCAAAGAAACCAGTGACATGATTCTATTCGAACAACTAGGTAAATTACGGACATTTCAATAGCTTTTGTAAAATGCAGCGCCGCATCATGTCACTCAGAGCAGCTGTTAGGTATACACATACAGCGAGCGAAGGGTCCATAGCATTTAGGGTCCAATACTCACACATGTTCCAAAAAATTACCAGGCTGGAACTATCCCTGTTTATATGACTCTGCTATCAGATTTATTCAGCGTTACTTTCATTTCAAATACGGTGCTAAAAGAGCTGCTATCCTTGCGTGCATACAGCTCTCCTGAAGCGAATTTTATTCACCCAAACCACTGCATAGCCGATGTGAAACTAGCTGGACCACTTGTAAGATATTTTAGGAGCTCTCTGGACGAAAACCGTGTTCCATAAACACGGAAGCGGCTTGTGGTTATCTCTATTCACAAGGTAAGAAATCTTTCAGAGCCTGTGAATTAGCGCCAAATAACGCCTTACCACGTGCTCGCCGAGGTCATGTAAACGATCAAGGCGGACACACTGAGGGGTTACTTGGTGACCCACAGTATCATTGCGCCGGAGCAGCACAGTTTTGCTTCAACATAGATTGTGTACTACGAATCTGGTGATTGCAAGCGACCATTATACTGAAGCAGTTTACAGAGGGGGCCGAACCGGTCATCTACTTGAATTTCTCACAAACGTTCGATCGTCCTGATCATTGTATTCTACTTCGCAAGCATCAAATGTATGACATCGAGGATTCCGTTTTGGGATAGACTACTAATCATCTCAGCGGAAAGTAGTTGAAAGGTATAGTCTAACTAACACTGTCCGACCCAATTCCAGTGGTATGCGGTCGACTCTATGGTGACAAAATTGGGTTTCGTCTGTTCTTGGTTTGCCTTAACAAGCTGCTAAGACTTATCCTCACAGAGTGTTTGCTTTCCGTGAAAGATGTTAAAGTATGACGCGCGAGCAGGTGATTGGATGGCAACGAGATCCTTCAAGGTAATCTATATGAGGCCTGTAAGTGACTGCGGAGGAAAGCACAGGAATTCATCATTGCCCAGTACAACGTTTTCTCATCCGCAATTGAAAGGCCTTCATCCACAGCTTTGAGCGAAATGATCTGTAGACCACCTCGTAAGAAGGTGAGTTCTGTGCGCTGGTAAAATCAAGCTCGGTTTCTTCAGATGATATCAGTCCGTTCCATATTTAAATACTCAGCATATTATTCCTTTTCAGAGTTAACTCAGGAATTTAGATGCATCAATTTTCTCTGTGGTACCCAGTGCATATGTGCGTTTTTCACAAGCTCTCACGTGTCAACTGCTGGACGCATTATTGCGTTTTCAGTGTAACCAATTACGTGCGAAAGAGCGGCACACGAACTACAAAGTTCGCAGTAAGTAAATCACGAACATCACAACCGCTCGTTACACCAAGGCTTTAATACACTAATACACTAAACACACATTAAGAACGCATTTGTTTACAACTATCTAACAGCAGAAAAGTTTTAGTTAATGCGGGCAGGAGAATCGGTGATTGACACATTTCATAAGGTTCGTACAATCCCAGCCAAATTTGCTCTTTTCACAATTCTTATCCGTTTTCCTTAGAACTATTTCAACATGACTTGTGTCAGTTGGAAAACGAACAGCATCGCCGTAAACAACCTACAGAGGTCCCTTATTAAAAGTCAGTTTAGTCCAATGCATAATAAATATATCTTGATACTAGCCAGCAAATGTAAGTCAATCCGCTTTGGCTACGAAGATAAAAGAATAACTTAATACAGCACAATAGGCTGCTTAATCGAAAGTCCATAGTAATTTGCTTTCAGTAGAAGTTTCGTAAGTTTAACCTTGAAACCTCATGATAGCAACTGCAATCTGGTGGCAACAAGGTGCAGAAAAAATAGGCAGTCCAATTTCTCTTTTTTTAGATATGCTGCAGTGCAATCCGCTTTCAGTCACAAGCAGATGGTGCGAAAGTGTAGCAGACTATCTTTTAACGTGACCTTGAGCTGAACATGCTTATGACCTTGTTCTATTGTACAATGCAGATTGATGAACTATTTCAAAGGAGTCCAGAAAACAGCTGTTGGGGAAAATGCAAATGACACTCCATGTTATCCAAGATTATAATTTGGAAAATATTCATAGCCTACCTAGATCCACCAACGTAGGGTAAAAGATAAACATGTGAAACATCAACATTGCTAAAAGGCGCAGAGGTTTTCAATTAGACAACTCTTTCTTTTTACTAAAAGTACATCGTAGTAGCTGTAAAATCTGATGTGTGTCCACTGCGGACGCGGCATTCATATGATGAACAGTCTACCTGTTATTATTTTATAAGTAACGTAGCTAATATCCATCAAGTCATAGTGTAGTTGACACTCTCCGCTTTAGTACTTTTAGCTTCAAGCAGGCATTGAAACCTAATGTTGCGCTTGCATTTGCGTACCATGCTCGAACTTAGTAGACGCACGAAATCACAAAAAGCATTTGACGGAGTCCAATGCGCAAATTCTTCACATATGATTGCTGCAGTTAATGGGTCTATACGTTGAGTTATAAGTTACAGGCAAGGAGATAATGCTATCAGGAAACTGAAGATGAGAGAATATAACTTTATCCAGTGACGATTTATCCCATGCTTTGAGCAATATTCGTATTTAGAATTGTTAATGACGACTGTTGTATTTGTGAACATATGAAAGCTTGCGTGTTTAAATTTTACCGTCGCATGTTGTTTTAATCCGAGATTATATGCGTTTTGTGAAAAGGGCATGTTAAATCATAAAACCGTTGGAACCCAGCAAGAAACTTCAGTCACATAACAGTGGGTGGAGAAACGTCATCGTATAGCCCGGAACTTGGTTTTGCAATATGTACTAACAAGATAAATGTATTGTTTCGACACTGCATTTGATCTGGAAAGTGCAAAATCTATGTGAATTTTTATGATGCATTCCACTAACCTGTTCTGAACTTTCCTCCGTACGCGCGCTCTCATCCGTCGTGCGACCCAAACCGGAATCCTGATCAGCTCGTTTGCACTCCTTTCCGCATGTAAGGACAATATAAATAAGTGAACTAAGTGAGTGCAAGAAATGCTATCGTGGACGTGAGCTGTTCTCAATAACTGCAAATGGTAACGAATGTATTGCTGTTGTTTTATTAGTAGCTGGCTCAAAACATATTAAACGTAAGTGAGGACTACTGTGATCCACAGAGCTAATAGACACAGCAAGCAAGCCAAAACATCGGAAGACTGTTATTTGTTATAATACGCGTAATTGACTACTATTACATTTGGATGAACCCTTTAGACGATATGCTGAACTGTTTTTGGGTTACGCCTAGAAATATTAAAAGTTTTACCGCGGCTACTTAGATGACTTTAGGCATCTTTGTTAAGCTTCACTTTGCCTCAGGACAGACTGATCTACATTTTATCAGGAAGTAAGTTTCCAACTGTAGCGGTTAGCAGATTTGCAAAATATCAAAAGTGTTAGCTTCTTCAGTTTAATTAATATAGAGTGAAGGTTACTTGTATTCCATCCAAATGATGACCAGAGTTCAGAAATAAGTTTTACAACGCAGATTCCACAACTTCGAATTAACCAATTACTCTTTGCATTTTTGGTTATGTTACAGGATAGACTTTTTATCAAATTCCAATAATTACTCCGTAACATCTCAAGCAGCCATCTTTCAATCATTTTGAGCATGACGCACTAAGAAAACAAAGAGCACAACATTTTCAATCGCATTTGTTAGCGCAAATCAGCTTATTGTAAAATGTGTGCACGAGTCTATTCAAAATTACGCTTACGTCTGTGTAGGTTGTTCTGTCATCATATCCTAAGTCCTGGTGTTATATAACATTGGAGAATACGAATACTAAAGGTTAAAAAACCAGAACTACTAGCGATCTGACCAAGAAATTGAAAATTGTAAGTGCATCACAAACTATCAAATATTAATTCCATTAGACACACAAAAAGCGTACGTGTCTCAGAGCATGTTAGTGCACAGTTTCAGTATTGTACATTATGGCACCCACGACGCTGTTCCTGATTTCATTATCATATGCAATAGCAGTAACAGCTAAAGTTCTGAGAAAAGTACAAATTTTTTACCCATATCTATCACTTGATCGCATCTGGACATGCCTCAGAAGTCACAATTGATCAAAGTAGGACTGCAACAAACGGTATTATGCAGCAAGCAACAATTATGATTTTCTATAAGTATATCAAAACTTGAGTGTATATTTACAAATCTAGACTAAGTAGATAAAAACAATTTTTGCTGCTGAATCTGACTGAATTCAAGTTTCTTTCATATTTGCATAACCATTGACCATCCACTCTTTTTATGGAATTATAGTTCTTGCAGCCCATATGGAAAGTTCAAATGCCCTTAATCATCCGGATCATTGTATTCTACCTCACCAGCTTCAGAAATACTAAAGCAGCAGTCGCTTTCTGGGCCGAACAGAAATTTTATATTTTCAACTACATTTAAACAAGTACCAATTGAATTATTGTGTGGGGCACCCCAAAGCCTAGTACTGTGCACGAGTGGATCCGTGACTTCCTTAGTGGACGGAAACTAAGGGTACAACTGGAAGCCCATCTAATGAACTGGTTTCCCTCCATCACTGGTATACTCCAATGTAAAATACCGGGGCCGATTTTGTTCCTGGTTCACATCAACGAAGTACCACAGTTTCTTCGGTCGCTCTGCGGTTTGGTTACAGACGACCTGAAGATTTGGAGGGGTACTGATTCGCCTGACGACTGTGATTTCCTTTAGCATGCGATCTTCCTGCTCAGTAGATCCACAAATATCGACCCAACGGTCAACTTAGTCCAATTGTTATACATGAGCCTGGGGAAGCGTGTAGGGGACTACAAGTACACTCTGGCCGAAAGTCTGCTACATCACACACTTTTCGTGAAGGATCTCGCACTCTGCGATTTAAAGTCCTTGGACAACACAAACAACCTATGTATAAAAGTTCTACGCATGCTTTGGGTGCTTAAAAGCAGCTTCTGCACTGGTTTTAAAGAAAGTGCCAAGCGCCTCTTCTCTTCCATCATGAGACGGATACTCGAGTAAGGACCATCGGCCTATTGTCAGATCACCGGTGGCAAAGTGTAAAGACTAGAACATGTTCAGCACGTCACTGTCAGACGCATCCCCAGTTTACGGGGTACGCTGTAAGGAGACCGATGCAAGCAACTATTGCTGTACGCCTTGACTTATCCTCCGTTTACAGTTGCTCTCATCATGACGCCTGCGTTACATTCCCATGCTGAGACCAATGCTACACTTGCGCACACAAGCAGCATTTGCGGGCAACGCTAGAAGCTAGTGGTATTGGACCTAAAGCGGATAGCTCACTCACCATGCTTTTAACGCTCAGTGGTGAAATAGTAGAATAGTTTACCCGCGAACAATACTGAGGCGAAATCGTTGTCGGAATCAAAGCAGTTTTTGGACAGCCAGTTTGCGGATTTCAGATACAGGAAGCACATCGTACCCGAACAACTTCCGACGCAACTGTAATGGCAGCAGACGCTAAGGCGTTAGTGCTGGGAAACTGTGCAGTGCTCCGAAGTGATTCCGATAGAGCAACACAGACGCATCTACTAGCCCTGTATTTTTACCATAAAATATGAAGTATTCGGATGCCACCACTTCCTATTGTTTCAAGTGATATGGCTAGAGTTTTCAGTTTAAATTTGCTGAACTAAACTGAAGGTATAAAGGTACAGCATACTACGGCTACAATGGATGACCACAGAGTAATACAAACTTAGCTGCATGTGTCTTTCATTCGATCTGCTGTGAACTAGAGCCTGTTCAACAAGCTAAGTGCAAATGTCTGAACATACCGCATTAAAACACCTACTACCGCCTGCCTGAGTTGCATATTCAGATGCACAAATTCCGTGACGGCGATCTCCCATTGCCCGTGCAAGATTACCTTGGCGGTTTTTAAGATAACAAAAGAGCATTAACGAACTTAGGATATTATTGTGGCTAGTTGTGAAAGGTGTCCGGGAAGTCTGAAGCTTCAGTCTTTCTAAGGCGCCTAAATAGTACGCGAAGCCACACGTGTACTATAATACCCGAGCCCCGCAGTTCTTCTAAAGGCACAACTCTAGCTCCTTAAATACTGCAAAACGTGTTGCTGCAAACTTAAGTGTTTGTTTTACCTTCCATACAAAGTAGTTTGTAATCTTCAATAGTGTATGTCGGACTTAACTGACGTCTGCGATGCGTTGTATTAAATGTGTATCAGATTTTGTAAAATCCCAATCACTCGGGCCAACATCTACTGAGGCTTTGCCAGAACACTTGCATGCGCGGTCATGAGTTTGTGTTATTCACGCAGTACGGCTAGCCGGGAAGCCGAAAAGTATCGCTTTCCTAGTGCCACAATAATAGAACGTCCACCCAGCATACTTTAATAAGAAATAGAGCTTATAATAATGTAACTATGGACGACAAAACACCAGCAGATTTACATTGCATGGTATGCAGCTTGTCTATGAACCAGAACCTTTTGGATAAAAACAATTAGTTAATGGCAAGATTAATTGCACGCATACCATTGCAAACCACTTGGTATGTCAGCAACACTTTCGCTATTCTATAGGCATTACTTTTACAACTTTTTAATTTTGCGTTAGCATTTCTATGGTAGTTTCAATTATTTGCTTTTGTACTCTATCGCCGCAAAGCGCATTGTTCTAAATTTCTAACCCACAGACTTCTGGACTTGCTATAAAACTAATTCATATGAAATAATGCGGAGAGACTTTAGCAAAAAAATATCAAGTTACTTTATTACTAGATGCAAATAAAATATTTCTGTGGACCATATTTAAGAATTAACTAGCTTTTGCATTTAAATCACTCCTTTATAGTCCGTTAAAATTGGCATATTGGGAAGATAAATTACAAGAATGAACTGTTAGATGGATAAGCACACGATGGGTGAAACTCAGTGTTTTGGAGGATTGGAATATAGAGCAAACACCTACGTTCCCCGGTTGTGTTGAATACGACAAGATGCTTCTAAACAACTCCGTAATCGGGAGTGATTTACGTTTACTTCAAAACCATGGGTGTTATGCCAAGATGCTAATTTTTAAATCAAGACCACATTTCAATTTCGTCTGTTCAATGGAAACACCTTTCGCTAACGACAAATGACCTGAATATCTGTAAATATATAACAGTGCGGATAATCTCTGTGTGCTTATCTTTACCAGAAACTGCACATTTATCAACCTGTTGCATCGAGTGCTTCAATCCTTAATACAAATCTTTGTGCACAGCTTTAGATCGAAAAGGAGTAAAACACGGATCCCGCCAGGTGTGCTTGGTGTTGATTGCTTGAGGGAAACGAAATAACGAATGAGTCACTGGAGGCGGGTCAATGTGAAAGTTGGGACGAATCTGGTAAAATAATGCCATTTCCCGTTCGGATGCGTGTAAAACTTCATGGTTTTGTTGCACGGGCGGCTCTGTCCAATACTTGTGAACAGACAGCACTGCTGAAAGACCATAAACAGTAATTAAGGAACTGCGGCAGTTTGATTTACGGATGGCATCGATGAACAAAGATTTCCTTGTAACGTGTGGTGAGCAAGCGCGGAAAGCGCCGTCTTAACCATTCTGAAAACGTGCACTAAGCAAATAACATTTGTAAGTATATAATCATAGGAATGTTGATGGTGTTACTTTATTTGTAACCCACTTAATAACTCTTGTACGAAATCATTTGAGCAGATGTGAAGGTTTTATTTACTGGAGGTCGCCTGACGAAACATGTGCGTCAGTGATCGGATGTTATGAGCATCTATACTATTATTTGCGCTTATTTTTGTTTCTTCAGGTGGCAGACAGAAATACACCGAGTTCGAGTACCATGGTAGACAGTGCCAGACACGGAGTACCTATCAGTGACATCTGCTGGGAGTTATCGGTCCGTCGAAAGCGTGTCCACAGACTAAGCCTCTTGGGACTAATTGGCTGCAAATAACGCCTTAGTCTGTTGAAGAAATAAAAATGCGGGCAGGAAACTGTTTTTTGTATGGTGGGAACCAGTGACCATGTATAAAAGCCTTATCCACGTCAAGCGTAAGTACATAGTACTTGGAACTTGTAGAAAGCGTTCTCCTTTACGGTAAACCTTCAAATCAACATGGATTGTAAAAATGACTCAAATTAGTAACAAGACAAATTAAAATGCATGCACATTGTTTGCATTATCATTGAAAGTAACCTAGGGGAGTGACAGTATATAGAATTTTCGTAGGACTAATAATTACATCATTTATATCGGATACTTGGGCGCTACATAGAAAAAAGAGTAATACCAAGAATTTCCCATTATATACCAGGCAAATTTGCGCTTCTACAGTACCCTGTAAGTTAAGTAAAACTGGTCAAGAATCTGCCTTTCAGCCAAAAATTTCAATACTTTTTCCGCAATTGAGCAGATTCGCCGTTGGATTAAATTCCGTCAGCAGCATCGGCAGTCACTTGAGTGACAAATAGTCGATAGTCCGAGAAATGTCATCTAACGCCAACCAGTCCGGAAGCGAAAAAACGTACGGTAGTATTTCACCAGATTCAACGATAGAGAAGTAGACGGTGATGTTGAACGAAATATGTGTAGATGTTTTGAGGAATGTCAACTGAAACGTTTTATGCTTTTTGCCAGGAAGGTATATTGCATAATTTTATTTTATGATTATTTAACTTGTACATCCATTCTATTCTAATATCTTAGGGTTTATATTAGGTTTCATGCACAAATGGGCTGTAGAGGA